GAGGCCATGAAATCTGAGATATGATCCATGTATGAGAACAAAGTTTGGACTTTGGTTGACTTGCCCGATGATCGGCAAGCAATTGAGAATAAATGGATTTTCAAGAGGAAGACGGACGCTGATAGTAGTGTTACTATCTACAAAGCTAGAATTGTCGCAAAAGGTTTTCGACAAGTTTAAGGTGTTGACTACGATGAGAGCTTCTCACTCGTATCTATGCTTGAGTCTGTCCGAATCATGTTAGTAATTGCCGCATTTTATGAAATCTGGCAAATGGATAAACAAAATTGCATTCCTTAATGGATTTATTAAAGAAGAGTTGTATATGATGCAACCAGAAGGTTTTGTCAATCCGAAAGGTGCTAACAAAGTGTGCAAGCTCCAGCAATCCATTTATGGACTGGTGCAGGCCTCTCGGAGTTAGAATATACACTTTGATGAGTTGATCAAAGCATATAGTTTTATACAGACTTGCGGTGAAGCCTGTATTTACAAGAAAGTGAGTGGGAGCACTACAACATTTCTGATAAGTATATGTGAATGACATATTGTTGATCGGAAATAATGTAGAATTATTCTGTAAAGCATAAAGGAGTGTTTGAAAGGAGTTTTTCAAAGAAAGACTTCGGTGAAGCTGCTTACATATTGAGCTTTAAGATCTATAGAGATAGATCAAGACGCTTGATAAGTTTTTTCAATGAGTATATACCTTGACAAGATTTTGAAGTAGTTCAAAATGGAGCAGTCAAAGAAAGAGTTCTTGCCTATATTACAAGGTGTGAAGTTGAGTAAGACTCAAAGCCCGACCACGGCAGAAGATAGAAAGAAAATGAAAGTCATTTCCTATGCCTTGGCCATAGGTTCTATAAAGTATGTCATGCTGTATACCAGATCTATTGTATACCCTGCACTGATTTGGCAAGGGAGTATAATAGTGATCTAGGAGTAGATCACTGGACAACAGTCAAAATTATCCTTAGTGGAATAAGGAAATATTTCTCAATTATGAAGGTGACAAAAAGGTTTGTCGTAAAAGTTACGTCGATGCAAATTTTGACACAGATCTGGATGACTATAAGTCTCGATCTAGATACATATTGAAAAGTGGGAGCAATTAGCTAGAGTAGCTCCGTGCAGAGCATTATAGACATAGAAATTTGCAAAATACTTACGGATCTGAATATTACAGACCCGTTGACTAAAATTATCTCACAAGCAAAACATGATCACACCTTAGTACTCTTTGGGTGTTAATCACATAGTGATGTGAACTAGATTACTGACTCTAGTAAACCCTTTGGGTGTTGATCACATATCGATGTGAACTCTGGGTGTTAATCACATGGTGATGTAAACTATTGCTGTTAAATCACATGGTGATGTGAACTAGATTATTGACTCTAGTGCAAGTGGGAGACTGAAGGAAATATGCCCTAGAGGCAATAATAAAGTTATTATTTATTTCCTTATATCATGATAAATGTCTATTATTCATGCTAGAATTGTATTGACCGGAAACATAATACATGTGTGAATACATAGACAAACTTAGTGTCACTAGTATGCCTCTACTTGACTAGCTCGTTAATCAAAGATGGTTATGTTTCCTAACCATGAACTAAGTGTTGTTATTTGATTAACGAGGTCACATCATTAGTTGAATGATCTGATTGACATGACCCATTCCATTAGCTTAGCACCCGATCGTTTAGTATGTTGCTATTGCTTTCTTCATGACTTATACATGTTCCTATGACTATGAGATTATGCAACTCCCGTTTGCCGGAGGAACACTTTGTGTGCTACCAAACGTCACAACGTAACTGGGTGATTATAAAGGAGCTCTACAGGTGTCTCCAATGGTAGATGTTGGGTTGGCGTATTTCGAGAATAGGATTTGTCACTCTGATTGTCGGAGAGGTATCTCTGGGCCCTCTCGGTAATGCACATCACATAAGCCTTGCAAGCATTGCAACTAATAAGTTAGTTGCGAGATGATGTATTACGGAACGAGTAAAGAGACTTGCCGGTAATGAGATTGAACTAGGTATTGGATACCGACGATCGAATCTCGGGCAAGTAACATACCGATGACAAAGGGAACAACGTATGTTGTTATGCGGTCTGACCGATAAAGATCTTCGTAGAATATGTAGGAGCCAATATGGGCATCCAGGTCCCGCTATTGGTTATTGACCGGAGACGTGTCTCGGTCATGTCTACATTGTTCTCGAACCGTAGGGTCCGCACGCTTAACGTTACGATGACAGTTATTATGAGTTTATGCATTTTGATGTACCGAAGTTAGTTCGGAGTCCCGGATGTGATCACGGACATGACGAGGAGTCTCGAAATGGTCGAGACATAAAAATTGATATATTGGACGGCTATATTCGGACACCGAAAGTGTTCCGGGTGATTTCGGAGAAAAACGGAGTACCGGAAGGGTTACCGGAACCCTCCGGGGAAGTAATGGGCCTTATTGGGCCTTAGGGGAGAGAGAGGGCTGCGGCCTAAGAGGTGCCCCCCCCCACATGGGGAGTCCGAATTGGACTAGGGAGGAGGGCGCGGCCCCTCTTTCCCTCTCCCTCTCCCCCTCTTTCCTTCCCCCTTAGGGTTTCCTAATTGGATTAGGAAAGGGGAGTCCTACTCCCACTAGGAGGAGGACTCCCCCTCCCCTTGGCGTGCCCCATAGGGCCGGCCGGCCTCCCCCTTGCTCCTTTATATACGGGGGCAGGGGGGCACCCTAGGACACACAAGTTGATCATTGAGATTGTTCCTTAGCCGTGTGCGGTGCCCCCTGCCACCATATTCCACCTCGATCATATCGTTGTAGTGCTTAGGCGAAGCCCTGCGTCGGTAGAACATCAAGATCGTCACCACGCCGTCGTACTGACGGAACTCCTCCCCGAAGCTTTGCTGGATCGGAGCCCGGGGATCGTCATCGAGCTGTACGTGTGCTAAGAACTCGGAGGTGCCGGAGTAACGGTGCTTGGATCGGTCGAATCGGGAAGAAGACGTACGACTACTTCCTCTACGTTGTGTCAACGCTTCCGTTGCGATCTACAAGGGTACGTAGATCATACTCTCCCCCTCGTTGCAATGCATCACCATGATCTTGCATGTGCGTAGGAAAATTTTGAAATTACTACGAAACCCAACACTAACGCGGCTCTGCGCTGACGCGAAGATGTATATTTAAACATGGAAAATCATTTATTATACCATGGAAGTAAAGTGTGTCAACATGCGAAATCTACAATGGTTTCTCATGCTTGGACAGTGAACCACGCTTGCAACAAAACATTTTTTTCAAGGAGCACAATATATGGACCTAAACGGCAACATAACAGTACAATGACAACACAACGGGTTATCGTGCACAATATATAAACGGTTTCTCGTGGTTGGAGAGTGGACATGACAACATAACGAGGTTTTGAAAAAAAAAGCTATGAAACACAACATATTGAGATACAACTTTTTGATTGCTTCATATGATAGACACCGCTTTCAAACCGATTAAATGTTGGCTGGCGGGCTTGCCATTTCAATTGTCCTAGCTATGCATTACTAGGGGGAATGGACTAACACTATGTCAGTGTCATGCTAATGCAAAGATGCACATTTAGAGATGGAAACCGGCTGTTTTTAGCACTTCATCCAGAATCTCCAACGTTTTTTTATACTTGAAGGGTGGACATACCTCACAAGAAAAACATACATCTTCGATCACAATACCCGGAGATTTTTACTATGGCTGTGGAAGACATGCACAATTTACTAATGATGCTTTCTCGATGGTTCCCTGGTAGCACTAAAATTGCTTCATATGGTAGACATCGCTTTCAAAAGCGATGAAACATTGTTGACTATGCTTCTCACTTCGATCATCTCAGTTGTGCATTATTAAGAATTTGACTAACGCGGCTCTGCGATACCGCAAAGATGTATGTTTAAACATGAAAAAACGTCCAATCTACTATGGTCCATGGAAACAAAGCCTGTCAACATGCGGAGTCTGCAATGGTTTCTCGTGCTTGGCGAGTGGACCTGGCTTGCAAGGAAAGCTTTTTTTATCAAAGAGCACAATATATAGACCTAAACAACAACATAACGGTTTCTCGTGCTTGAAGAGTGGGCATAACAACATAACGAGGTTTAACATAAAACGAGAGCCATGAAATACCACATAATGACACAACTTATCGATAGATTCATATGATAGACATCACTTTAAAACCGAATAAACGTTGCCGGTCGAGCTTTGCCATTTCGATTGTCCTAGCTATGCATTACTAGGAAAATGGGCTAACGCGGTGCTAGTGTCATGCTCATGCAAAGATGTACATTTGGAGATGGAAACCCGACGGTTTTTAGGCATGTCACCCAGCTCGGAGGATGAACATGGCTTGCAAAGAAAATATACTTCTTCGGTCACAATACCCGGAGAATTTCACTACGAACATGGAAGGCATGCACAATTTACTAACAACATTACAAACTCAAAGTTAAAAGAAAAGAGCTATGATAACAGCAACCACGCTTTCTTAATGGTTTACCTAGTAGAGCACTAAAACCGCTTCATATATATGCTAGACATCGCTCTCAAAGCCGATGCAACCGTAACAAATCTAAGACAGGAATTTTGGGGCGAAGGAAATATTATTTTTTCCGCAGGCCAAAAAGTTGGGTTTGAAAGCAAGAAGGCCACCGCGTCGCCTTTTGGCAAGGCGCCAAGGCGTGTAAACAAAGCCAGAAGGAGAAATTCGCAGGTTGGAAAAAAAAAAGCGTTTTAAAAAGGGTCAAGTGGGCATGATGGCCGTGCTTCCAGAGGCTTCCAGGGGCAGGCAGTGCGTGGAGGAGAGGAGCGACCTGAGCCGAGAGAGGGAAGGAAACACCAGGAACCTCCTCCTCCCTCCTCTCCTCTCCCCTCTCCCCCTCCTCCTCCCCCGCGCATCCTCGAGCGAGCCCCTCCGGCCGGCGACGCGGGACGCGGCATGGCCACCGGCGGCGACAACGGGTGCGGCGGCGGGGGGGCGGCGGCGCCCGGCGGCGGCGACCTGTACGCCGTGCTGGGGCTCAGCAAGGAGTGCTCCGACGCCGACCTCAAGCTCGCCTACCGGAAGCTCGCCATGGTGAGCGAGAATCACGGCCTCATCCTCTGTTCCTCCGCTGTGCACGTTTTCGCGTTTTCTTAGTCAAATCTTCCTCTGCATCTACGTGGTACGTCCCCTCCGCTCTCGATTCGGCCGGGAATCGGGGAGGCGCCGCCGTTGATTGCGCCTCGCGCCATGGCGGCGAGGATGATTACCGGTCGCCGATCTCGAGTTTGGAAATTGGAGGTTGGCGCCAAAGTTCGTTCGTATTCCTGTAGCCCAACGGCGCTGCGGTCCTGTCTGCGCCCCATACTTTACGCGAGTTTGCGCCGGAGCTCGTGATCTTCGTCGATCCGGTGATTTAGATCCCCGGACGCCACGCCTGTAGCCAATTATTGGCGTATTTCGCCTGCCCTGCCATCTCCGTACTCGTTGAACATTGCTTGATTCCTCCCAAGTTTTGCTCTGTTCCAACTCTGAAACTGCTCTGTTTTTTTCTTCCTTCTTTCTGTTGTAAATTCAGCTGAACTTCTTGATCTGTGACCTGTTGCAGAGATGGCATCCGGACAGATGCTCGTCCTCCAGCGGGACCAAGCGCATGGAGGAGGCCAAGGAGAAGTTCCAGGAGATCCAGGGCGCCTATTCCGGTCTCAATCTTCCTTGCCTCTACCTCAACCCTCTCCCCCCATATTTATGTGCTCACAATCCACCCCACATCACTTTTTACATGTTGCAATAACAAACTGATTAACCCGCCGAACCGATCTAGCAAGCTAGTTGGCAAACTTATCGCATGGAGCCCTCGTGCTCCCTATCCATTGTTGTTCTTGTGCAGTCCTCTCCGATGCCAACAAGCGGTTCCTCTACGACGTAGGGGTGTACCAAGAAGAAGAAGACAGCGACGACAGCGTAAGGATCACGCATTGTAATCGGGCTTTCCGCCGGTATTGCTTATAGTGTGAGTGACATTTTCTGCTATTGTTTTGCAGATGCAGGGGATGGGGGACTTCCTTGGTGAGATGGCCCATATGATGAGCCAGACACGGCCAGCGGTAAGAACCATTCGCTTCACGGTCTCTGCTTTAGATGTTTTTTGTGATCTAGCATTAGTTGTCACTATCTTTGTTATTTTGGGTTTCGACACTGATTTTATCACCATACTTCGCTAACCATCATCTTATCTGTTTCGTTGTTCGTAAAATGTTTATCCTGGGCTTGGAAGAAGAACTAGGAAAAGGAAGAAAAAATAGTTATTTTTGTTCTTCGTCACCGTATCCTCTAACATGGATGAAAAAAATGCTGTTTTTGGACTGAACCCATTCTCCTTTTGGTTTCTTGGAGCCCTCGTCAAGTTTTATTTGTTCTACAAGAATCTTGCTGCTATTTGTTTAGAATTTTGTGCTATTATGGGAAAAATTGTTGGCATGGGGCGGGGTATGCTTTTCTGCTGCAAAATTCTGAGCTAAGCATAAAGTGAAAATTTTAAGTTTTTTTACTTTTCACAGCATAACTATAATGATTTGCATACATATTTCTTTGTCCATTGAAAAACTCGTCAATAAACATAACAAAGTTGTCCAAATATGAGTGGGCGAGTCATTAATATCTTGCTTAGGTTTACTTGAAAGATTTCAGTAGCTTAAAAAGATAATGATTTTAGTATGCATGTATTGGAAAAGGATTGTTGGAGTTCCATATCTTCCATGGTTTTTCTTGGATACCAAAAATGAAACTTGGGTGAACTTTTCTGGAATCAACTATAAAATGATATGTTTTTTTCCTGGACTCTCTTCATCCAAGGAAAAACATGACAATAACAATGAGCCTTTGGATTTGCAGAGGCAGGAGAGCTTTGAGGAGCTGCAGCAGCTGTTTGTGGACATGTTCCAGTCTGACATTGACTCGGGATTTTGCAATGGACCTGCCAAGGGCCATCATGACCCGTTCCAAACATTCTCGACCTTCCCTTCCTCGTCGCCATCTCCACCACCTCCGCTAGCTACAGAGGCAGAAGCAGCCTCATGTAACGGCATTAACAAGCGTGGCTCATCAGCAATGGGCTCTGGGAAGCCTCCAAGAACTGGGGAAGCGGGTGCGGGTTACGGCCAGCCTGAGTTTTGTTTTGGGGTAAGTATCCTTGCAAGTCCCTATTTCTTTGTCAATTTGGTGTGTTAGCTTTGCTTAATAAGTTCAGCATCAGATACCAAGCATAACCTCGTATACTGGAATATATAGGTGTTTTGCAACGATCCTTCGTCCTACTTTTGGCTTTTGGGTACCTTTTCCATTGTCCAGCATGACTGGCCATTCATGAGAAAGGGTTAGTTAGATAGGTAGCGACCTTTTGGTCTTTGTGCAGGTTCGTTCACCTGCATTGGATGGTGATAGGGGCCTACAGGGTCCCAGGTTGTGGAAGCCACTAGACGTTCACTTCTAAGCTAATTAGGAATTTCATCGCCATAATCATGAAACATTCTGGCCAAAATAAACGTGGAGGGCCCCGGTGGAACTTTTTGCATTGGATGGACCACCAACCAAGTGATGCAAAATCTAGCTCCACCACTGGATGTATTCTTCACACGAGGGCTTGCTTATCAGCTATGAGGTTTCTCGGTAGGGCCTTCGGAATGATTCATTAGTGGTACATCACTGTCTTTAGCGTGGCTCGCATGGTAGAACAGTCCGCTGAGCTACTTTTCTCGCGTATGTAAATTGCCTTTGGATAGGCTTTTTTGTATTGGCATGATGTGACTTCTTGTCTAATGGTCTACGTGATTTAGAGAAATTGCAAGTTTCCAGTGGGATAATGGCTTTTTAGCAACTAAACAGATAGATGGGGCACACATGACCTTTTTGCTTTATTGTAACGTTCGCCTTTTCTTAAAGTTGTTCTACGTCGTATGGTGCTGTTGCTGACTTGTTCACCGCCTGCTTTTATCGCCAGATCACGTGTCGTTCTGGCTACCTTAAATTGCCAACCAGTTGAATGCTTCATGATGAGGCCGCATCTGTTAACTGATGATATTCTGTATTTTCTATTGTTCTTTAAGAATCTTCAAAGTAGCGGTGCTGGTTGACACTGGTTGGCTCAACTTGCCATGGCGTACGGCGACAACACACGACAGTTGGTCTCGGATGTCCTGGTGGTTTAGTAACCAATAACAGACAAAAGAATATTTATGTTTTTGTGTAATCCTTCACTTAGTTTTCTGCAATGAGGTTAACTAATTTGTGTGGAGTGCTGAACAGTATCTGTGCTAGACATTTCCAAGCTGACCATTTCAACTTGTCTATCTGCAGAGGAGCGACGCCAAGCAAGCGCCAAAGGCGCGAGGCGGGAACACCAGCAGGAGACGAAACGGGCAGAAGCAGAAGCCGTCTTCGAAGCACGATGTCTCGTCCGAGGACGAGATGCTGAGCCCGCAGCAGCCCAGAGTAGTATGACCCTCGATGCGACCATCTGGTCCTTTGTCACCTTATGTCCTGACCATGTCAATGGTCACTCAGTATCACACTGCAGCCGGCAAGTAGAGCGCCAGCGCCGGAAGCTGTTACAACGAGGGGGGGTTGCTTCGTCAAAGGCTATGTAGGCCCCCCTTAGAAGGTTTGTAAAAGAACCTAGCGTGTAAGACTCATTGATGTTACCGCATTCTTCTTTCTCGGTTTGTGCCGCTGTGTTGTTGTAATTGGGCATTGGATTCTCGATTGATTCAGTGTTCATTGTTATTATGATGGAGGGAGAAGGCTCCTTGTTGTGGGGATAACTTGACCAAACTATGAGTGGCATGGCACTGAAAGAGCAAATGTTTTACTCCCTTCGTTTCATAATATAAGATCGGTTGTACGATCTTATATTATGGGCCGGAGGGAGTAGCATTTACATCTTCAGTCTGACTGCCCATCAAACAGGGCAGATCAGATAGATGTTTTTCCTACTTGTTCTGTCTTACAACCAGATCACTCTGTTATCAGTCAACAACTGAGCAACCTCAACAGTACCTGTACCATGGCGCTCTTTTTAGTACCACCTCGCCAACGTGAGGAGAAAGGGACGGGGAGCAGGCTATATAAGCAAGTTATGGTGCAACCTTGAAACGTACTTACCTGGACGGGGTCCACGGCCGATCATGAAGGGCCGTGGCTTAGGCTAGTGGTCCATATTACACTTGGTGAATGCGATGGCTTACCATCTTCCCAAGCGGGAGAGTGGATGTCATAATTTGTGATAGAGGGGGTACGGCCTCCAATTCTCAATATAAAGTTTTCACCTGTTTCTGCTCTCTAGCAAGGACAGTTTGATAGAACGTTCTGGAGGTAGTTTTTTCTCCTGTTCGTTACCTGGGCATTGGATTTTTGATTGATTCAGTGTCCGCTGCACTTTTTACAGAAAAAATAACAAGCAAATGTGACATGAAAGAAAGTTTTGTCATATCTCAAACGTTACATGTGGTGCAAGCAAACCAGACATCGACCGTGAACAAATAGCATCATTTAGACGGCCCGCCATATGTGAACCTGCCGTTGGGGCTGATCAGGGACACGGTGTACACCTTGTCGTTCGTCATGTAGGGCGTGAAATCTTGCGGGGCTCGGAACCTCTTGCCATCTTGATCCAGAAACATGATATTGCTGAATGATGCAGCTTTCACGTTGCTGGGACGGAAACCGCTCCCCATCGGGGCCAAAGGACTAGCTTGAGTCAGCACAAAACCTCGGGCTTGTATCTCATCTGCCTTGTCGGCCAAGGTGGTGAACAAGGTCTTCGGGAAACGACCGATTAACTTTGGCTTCGACCCGAACCCACAGTGCACAAGCCAGTCTCCCGTTGCTTTGTCCTACACAAACTCCGAAACCAGAAATTTGGTTGGCCTGGAATTGCAACTCTGTACAAATTCATATTGCAAGATAAAGATACATTATGTTTACCTTGAAAACTTTTAGGTTGATGGTTTGCTTGGCTCCATTGGGGTTCGAAACGGGGCTCAGTTTAGTTCCTGGCACTATGGCACCTTTCTCAGGAACATAACCTGCTGGACAGGTTAAATCGTAGCAGCCCGTCCATCCTTGGTTATCGCTCTATGAAACAATTTTAAAGCAATTAGCAACAAGAGAAATTACCCCAACACATTTTTTTGAAATGCATGACGTGTTGTTCTTACCGTCCAGTAAGTGAAAAAGCGAGTGTCTGTATTACCACCATACTGCCATGGATAAGCCTGTGGATTAAATAAAATTAGTTGGGAACATACTTGTACTACCATACACATATAGTAAGAAAATAAAATACAAAATAAATGAAAGTGACTTACATGCCATCCAACAACAATCATGTTACGATGGAACGATTTCGAATTCTTAATAATCAAGGCAGCTCCACTGTGTTGATCTTGACGCAAAGAGAGACCATATACGTCGATTGTAGCTTCAATCCCATAGTAATCCCGTGCCACATGGGTTTTATATGCAGCATCCTGGTTAAAAAAAGGAATTTACTTGAAGATGTCAATGTAATTATGCTCTATTTGGTACGGTAGAGAATTTACTTGAAGATGTGACGACCCAAGAGGGGATCGGCTTCACGGCCAGAGGTAAGGGACGAGGAGAGGAGCAGGATAGGTGAGAAGGAGAGAAAGGGGATGAGGGCAACTAGACTTTTCTTATTTCATATCCTCCACGGAGTACAGGGTAGGTCTCTTATACTTGCACACACACGCCTGGCCACATGTGGCCCAATGGCACACACACGCTCACCCCTTTCTATCTATTTCACCTTCCAGGTCCACCGATACTCATGTATCAGGTGTGACATTTGCCTCCCCTTGAGCGCGAGCGTCTTCATCCCAACAGCTTGCCTCCGGGTAGCGCTGACGGAGCACAGAATAATCCTCCCAGGTCGAGGATTCAGGAGCTAACGAAGACCACTGAACTTTGACCTGCACAATTGAGTTGTTGCCTTTCTTCACCATGCGACGTTCGAGAATGGCAATAGGTTGTACCGGTGCCGCTGTGAGGTTCGGTGCACGGGGTAGCTCTGAGAAAACTGGACTGTAGTCCGGAGTGAAGGGCTTGAGCTGCGAGACATGAAAAACTGGGTGTATGCGACCGTCGTCCGGCAACTGGAGCTTGTAAGCCAAAGGACCAATGCGTTCCAGAATCTGAAATGGACCAAAGAACTTGTACGCCAATTTGGGGTACGGGCGGTTAGCCACTGTTGACTGTGTATATGGCTGAAGCTTGAGCAGCACTGAATCACCCACTTCTAAGGAACGCTCTGTACGATTGCGATCAGTCTTTTGCTTGCACCTGTTTTGAGCCCGCGCCAATTGATCACGGAGCCAGCCACTGTGAGTTGCCCAGTCCAGCTCGGTGCTTGCATCCGCGGGCAACCTGGTGGCCAAAGTAGGTAGACCACCCAGGTTGGGTTCTTTGCCGTAGAGTGCCTGGAACGGTGTTGTGTTTAGCGATGAGTGATAGGTGGTATTGTACCAGAACTCAGCCGTGGACGGCCACTTTCGCCACTGCTTGGGATTGTCATGCACCGCACATCGCAGATACATCTCGAGGCATTGATTGACGCGCTCGCTCTGTCCATCCGTCTGAGGGTGATATGCTGTCGAGTAACTGAGCTTGGTGCCGGCGGTGTCGTGGAGAGCACGCCACATTTTGCTGGTGAAGATAGGATCGCGATCCGAGACAATCGAGTGTGGCACCCCGTGCAGCTTGATGATGCTGTCCCAGAATGCACGCGCCACTGTTGCTGCTGTGAAGGGGTGACGCAAGGGCACAAAATGCGCGTACTTAGTGAACCGGTCAACAACGACCATGATCACCTCACAGCCCTCAGACAGTGGCAAACCTTCGATGAAGTCCATGGTGAGGTCATGCCACGGCTCTGTAGGGATGGGCAGAGGTTCCAGCAGTCCGGGTGGCTTGATATGCTCGTGCTTGGCGTGTTGGCAAACGGCACACTGGTGCACGAATTCCTCCACGGCCTGCTTGAGGCCCCGCCAGGCAAATAGCTTCTTGAGGCGCTGATATGTGGTCGTGACTCCAGAGTGACCCCCAATTGCGCTGGCATGGAAAGCACTGATTAGTTTGGTCTGGAGTGCAGTGTTGGCACCAATCCATAGCCGGTCCTGAAGGCGGATCACGCCTTGCCTGAGCTCGTAGCCATGCTCATCCGGACTGAAGACAGCCAACCGTTGCAGCAGATCTTGGGCGTCAGCGTCCGTCTCGTATGAGTTCGCGACTTCTTGCAGCCACTGTGGTTGGCACACGGAGATGGCATCGAGGGAAAGAAGATGCCCGACGCGAGACAATGCATCTGCGGCACCATTGTCAACACCGCGCCGGTACTTGAACGAGAATTGCAGTCCCACAAGCTTGGACATCGCCTTGCGCTGTAACTCGGTGTCCAACTATTGCTCCCCCAAGCTGCACAAGCTCTTATGATCCGTGACGATGACGAATGGTGCCCATTGTAGGTAGGCGCGCCACCTGTCTATCGCCATGATCACCGCAAGGAATTCTTTCTCGTAAATGGAACGGCGTTGATTGCGTGTGCCCAGAGCCTTGCTTAAGTAGGCGACAGGGTGGCCTTCTTGTACTAGGACAGCGCCCACACCCGTATCACACGCGTCCGTCTCGATGGAGAACGGGCGGTTGAAATCAGGCAGAGATAGCACTGGGGTGTTCACCATTGCTTGTTTGAGGAGGTCGAACGCCGCTTGAGCTTGATCTATCCAACTGAATCCTTTCTTAGTGAGCAATTGAGTCAATGGCTTGGCGAGAATCCCATAGTTCTTCACAAACTTGCGGTAATAGCCTGTCAAACCCAGAAAACCCCGGAGTTCAGTGGCATTTGTCGGTGTCGGCCACGCAGACATGGCACTAGTCTTGCTCTTATCAGTTGCCACGCCCTCCCTGGAAATAACATGCCCGAGGTATTCAATGCTGGGATGTGCAAAGGAGCACTTGGATTGTTTGGCATACAGTTGATGTTGTCGCAGAATGGAGAAGACGGTGCGCAGATGATCAACATGCTCCTGCAGAGAACGGCTGAACACCAAGATGTCATCGAGAAAAGTAATGACGAACTTACGATTTGGTCCGGAGAACACCGAGTTTATGACACATTGGAATGTGGGTGGTCCGTTGGTGACCCCAAATGGCATGACACGGAACTCAAAGTGGCCGTGATGCGTTTTGAATGCAGTTTTCTCCTCGTCGCCTTTTTTCATACGGATCTGATGGTATCCAGCTCGCAGATCGATCTTGGAAAAGAAGGCGGCGCCAGCAAGTTCATCCAGTAGCTCGTCGATGACGGGAAGGGGAAATCTGTTTTTGATGGTCACCATGTTCAGGCGTCTGTAATCTACGCAGAAGCGCCAGGTTCCATCCTTCTTTTTCACCAGGAGTACAGGAGCGGCGTAGGGACTCATACTATGAGTAATGATCCCTGTCCGCAGCATTTCCGTAACCTGACGCTCTATCTCGTCTTTCTGCAACGGAGAATAACGGTACGGGCGACAGTTGATTGGTGTGGCCCCCGGTTCTAGAGTGATAGCATGGTCGTATTGACGGCGGGGAGGTAATCCTGTAGGTTCAGCAAAGACATCACTGAACTCCGTTAGAATGCGTTGGATCACAACTGGTGGTGGTTGAGCTGTTGCTGAATCTGGTATTGGCGCCATTTGGAGTTCTATTAAAGCAGCCCCCCAAATCTCATTTGCATCATGCATTTGCCAAAGAGAAGCAGCATCCAAAGCAGTAAGGGTTGGCGATTCATCCGATCTAACTCCCTGTAGGTGTACTGCTGTCCCATCACGCTCGAATTGCATTGTTTTCAACTGCCAATCACACTTCATGGGGCTATGTTGCGCTAGCCAGTCGACGCCGAGAACTGCATCATAGACGCCCAAGTCCAGCACACGCATATCTGTGCTGAATGTGTGTTCCTGGCTGCACCACTGGAGCTGCGGTACCATGGCTGTGCAGTTCAGTCGCTGGCCATTGGCTACCCGTACAGCAATGGAAGGAATGGGTGTTGTTGTTGTTGCTCCAATTCTGACAGCAAATGTTGAATTGACAAAACTGTGCGTGCTCCCCGAGTCCACCAACAGCAGCATCGTCTGGTTACCCACAGTTGCTCGCAGGCGAATGGTTTCCGCTGTTTCCGTGCCTTCCACCGCGTGTGCAGAAAGAAGGCAGCACGCGGGATCTGCAGCCCCGTCTGGCTCATCAAGTAACTGCAGCGCGTGCACGGCTTCGTCAGATAGCACTTCCCCATGATCACCCACCTCTATTGTGAGCAACTGCGCTGAGCGTTTGCATTGATGGTCCCTGGAGTATTTGTCGCCACAACGAAAACAGAGGCCATGCTGGCGTCTGTAGTCTCGCAGCTGCCGCTCGCGCCCGAAGTCGTCCGGGGCTTGCTTAGGTGCCGGAACGATGCGGGGTACTAAAGTGGCAGGTGGCACTGATGGTGTTGGGGGAGGACGTCCCAACGCCGGTGGCACGCTAGGCAGTGGCGGTGGCTGTCCTGCAGAAGCGGGTCGTAGGCGAGGGCGCTGAATGTCCAATTCCTCCTCCTGTATGCGTGCAAATACGGTGGCTCTGGTAATGCTGGTCGGTGCTTGGATGCGCACCGCGGCTCGCAATTCATCTTTGAGGCCGAGCAAAAATTGGGTGACAAAAAATTTGGAGCTCAATGTGGCGTCGAGTGCGATCATGTTGTACATGTGCACCTCAAATTGCTGCCTGTACTCTGCGACTGTGCCTGTCTGTCGAAGCTGCAACAAATCATGCATCGAGGACTCGAACTCCTCAGGGCCGAATTCCTCTTCCACTGCCCGGCGAAACAAATCCCAAGTGATCACTGGATGCGTCTGACGGAAGGCCCGAAGCTAGAGAGCGGCATGGCCTTCGACGTAGAGTGATGATGTTGCCACCCAGTTGTGTTGTGGCACATGGTAGAGCTCGAAGTAAGCCAAGCAACGATCCAGCCAAACACGGGGGGCAGCACCATCGAAACGAGGGAAATGATGTTTGGGTGGCCTGACGGAGTACTCCTCCCGTGGCGCTGGTGCTGACTGAAACCCCCGCTCCGGCAACCCGATCTGGTCATCTGGCTTGGATAGAAGTGGCGGCCCTTCGTTTGTGAGCCGTGCGAGCAGCGCTGACCCCGCGATAGTCTGCGGTATGGGCAGGGCGCTTGGCGGAGACGCGGCGTGCGGATCGGGTGGTGGTGGTGGAGGCCCCGTACGCACGGCAGGTGTGTGTAGCACCGCCGTCGATGGATCGTCCACCTGGGAACCCGTGGATGGGGTTGACGACGCGGACGCGGACGCAGCCTTACGCACGTCATCGACCTCTGCTTGAGTAAGGCCGATCTGCTTCGACAAGCTCTGCAACTCGTGGGAGACCTGAGTGTTGAACGCCGTCTGCGCCTCTGCTCGCTTGTCTGCCAAGTCCCTCTCCTCGTCGAATCTGGACAGGAGCTTCTCCATCAGGGTGGTGAAGTTGGCTGTCTGAGTTTCCATGGCGGCTATCACCTGCCTTGCCTGCGCTGAGGGCTTGGAGGGCGCCGTGGCTCCAGCCCCGAGTAGATCGAACCCCACCGAGGATTTCGAGCGACCTCACCGGAGTGAAATCGCACCTGCGGCGGTGGATGTTACCGATCTGACCAAGGGAGTAGGAAGAACCGCGGCAGAACAAAATTTAAGGAAATTTTGCTGGCTCTGAGATACCAAATGTGACGACCCAAGAGGGGATCGGCTTCACGGCCAGAGGTAAGGGACGAGGAGAGGAGCAGGATAGGTGAGAAGGAGAGAAAGGGGATGAGGGCAACTAGACTTTTCTTATTTCATATCCTCCACGGAGTACAGGGTAGGTCTCTTATACTTGCACACACATGCCTGGCCACATGTGGCCCACTGGCACACACACGCTCACCCCTTTCTATCTATTTCACCTTCCAGGTCCACCGATACTCATGTATCAGGTGTGACAATGTCAATGTAATTATGCTCTATTTGGTACGGTAGAGGATATTTATATAAAAACTTTCTCCACTTGTGTCGATTTCGATAGCTATAGTTTGATTTAAATGTTTGTAACAACTTGGTTTATTGTGACGTTTGTGTTTTCATCTGGATATTTAGGGTGTGCACACCAAACATTTATTCCCGTAACTTCAGATATGGATCTGCTAAAAGATTGACATGGTGGATCATGTTAAGTGCAGTGTGATTTAGTTTCACCCCAACAACACACTTGAAAACAACATCACAACCCCATGCAGATTAAACCTAATGGTTTAGATCATTTTATCTATTTTTTAGATGAAAGGTGACATGTTTCCTTAATAAGCGGTTTGGCATAATCAGCAGTCATCCTATATCTAGGTTGTTAGTGACAACCATGATTCGTGTTCATGTTTAGGTTGAATACTGTGGGTAATTGTATAAGTAATTTGTCTCAAATATTGTTACTTTGTCATCGTCCCCACAAAAAAAAGGATAATGTCACCTTCAAAGTTATGTTCTTGAGATTGTTGATGCCGGAAACGACTCAAACCAGAGGGGGTTAATATACTCACATAGGAAGTTCTGACGCCATAATTAGGGAACGTTGACACATTTGCAGGAGGTGGATCCAAACCATCCATCTTCAGGTTGATTGGCTTTAAGTTGCCACCAGAGACACCAAGCTCCTCCTGAAATAAAATATTAGGCCGTTTGATCTTGAACCATGCATGCATCAAGTTTGAAATTACGCATCAATATTGCTGGGAATTTCTGAAACGCACGCACCTGATTTCCAGCATGGGGTCTAACTCCAAGTATGCCACGGGTGAGATGCAGAATGCACAGAGCCAGGATGAAGAGACTAAAGTTGTTACCCATGATCAGTCTCAAACCACCAGAGAATGAGCTGCAAGAATTGTTCCAGGGGAAGAGCTTAGCTCGGCCCCCTTTAAATGGAACTTGAAACCAAGAGGTTATTGAAATATTTATGACTATAGTTTAGCAGATTTTATTTGCATTTACTTAGTCCCCAAAAAATGTACTGTTGCACTCTGGTATAAAATGGAGATTATTAATGCAAAATATTTGGTTTGCACAATTAATACAATGCCCAATATTTGATTGGCGTTTAGAACTCTTACAAGTACTAAAAAAATACGAGAGCACGCACGTGTCTTCCTGCTGTATCTTGCACTGTCCAAGTCATTTGGGTACCATATGCACAATCTTTGCATCTACATCAACTGCAATTATGTCCGAATATGCACAACATCATCAGCTATATCCTATATATGTACACATAAGCATCCTAGATTCTCATTAGAATACAGCATAGGCAGGATGGCAAATTTCAAGATTTTACAAGTTATCATCAATTGAAATTACAGCACGTTTCAATCTAACAAATACTCCTACCAAACAGCGTCAAGATACTGAAAATTATATCTTGCAAACACAAAAAGGTCAACATTTTCCTTCAGGTAAAAAACCACGGTCCAGAGCAACATTCTCGCAAATGCGACAGACAATAACATGAAGGGATGCAAGATTATTCATTTCACTCAGAGTCAGAGCACCCACTCGATGTGCTCATCCGTGAAGACAAAACGTGCGCACTTGTGCTTGACCATCTGAAGGGTCTGCTGCCGGTCATCACCACCGGCGCCAGCCATCATCTCTATCCCGGTGAGCACGGAGAAGTACCCTCCTCTTTCTCCTTCCGTAAAGGTCTTAGCGATGAGAAACTTGCCGCCGCCTAGGTGGAGAAGCTCGAGCTGTTTTGGAAGCCACGGCTCTCCCTCAGCAGGCGGGTTCAGATCTTCCCACACCGTGGGAGCGGCGGGCTGCCGTCCACCGTCCATGGCAGAGAGGCCCTCTTGGCTGACAAACTAGACAAACTAGCAGCACATGGCAAATTGCAAGATTTTACATTCCACCATCAATCAAACTACAACATGTTTCAGTCGATCTGAATCTGAAAGTACAAAATCCTAAGATACAGAAAACTATATCTTGCGAACAAGAAACTGAAGTTTTTCCTTCAGGAAAAAGCCCGGGGAAGCAGTCAAAATTTTCCTTCGGGAAAAACCGAGAGAAACGGCAGCAGCATAAATACGCCACGACAAGCGCAGCTAGTGCTAGCTAAACCCTCACTGTACAGTTACAAAAATTTCCTACAGCCTCGTCTCCTCTACTCACTTGTTCTTCTTCTGCTTGTGTTTTTGTGTCCTCTTGGCTGCGAGGGCACCCGAAGCGCTGTTCCCCTCAAACCTTTTCGCCATCTTCATGACACTAGCCATGCCCTTGCGTGCCGACTGCTTGCGATCTGACCTGCGGTTGAGCAGCTTCCGATCCAAAGGCCAGTAAGCATATGGTTCCATCTTGTCTTTCTTCTTGAGATCACCACCGGCCTTCTTGCTGGTGTACTCATGGCCGGTGTAGGACCAGCCAGTGCTGGCCACCTTCCTCCTCTTCACTGACTGGCTTCTGACAGAGGTCTTGTCATCAGCCTCCTCGTCATGCGAGACAATGGGCTTCTTTTTACGCCATTCCCGTTCTTCACGAATGATCATACGGCCTTCGGGGTCCATCTCGATCTCGTCGTCGTCGTCGACATCAGGTGCAGCCCTCTTTTTTCCTGTTGATTTGAGAGCCAACCGCATTGTCTTCTGGTCAAGTAAATCTAGGGGCTCACCAGTCGAGTGATCAATGATCTTTTCCTGCAAGTTCTTATTTTGACGCTTTCGGTTCGACCTGGATGTGAATAAAAGCAAATGCAAACAATTATGATTGTTTCAGCTTCTCAGGCAGCTTTTCAGCACAGCAATTGTTTCAGCTTCTGAGGCAGCTTTTCAGCACGGCAATGACATGGCACATACCGTGTTGAAGCTTTTGATCCGTTACGAGAAGCAAGACTATGCTGCTTGGAAAAGGGACCATTCGAGTCTTCATCGTCACTTCCAAAATCAGAAAACATCTGTGTGTGATTCCATCCACTTTGCCTGCAGTCAAAACATGGATCAATCAGTTGAACACAAGATGTAGATACTTTGGATTTAAATTAGATTAAACAAAATTTGCTTTTGTCTAAGCTCACGACTTTTCAGAAAAAAAACAGATGGCACTAAATTATGGCATTATCGTGCCAGTAATACCTTGTAGCTCCTGAGGCCATGGACATAGCCTCCCCATCCTCAGACGAATTGCCCTTCCTCATTTTACGCTCATTAATCTGGTAAACATTGCAAACAAATGGTAGAAGTAACACGATAAGAGGGAGAAGTCATTATTTTCTTTTCTCTCTGAAGCTTTTGTTGGAACTCTGCAGATTTGTATCACAACTGAACTTACCTTCCTGATATTGGTGAGCAATTTCATATGTTCTTCGGGCATCACAGCTTTTACTGCATCTAAACCACATTTTTTCACGAGAATTTCAACAAGTGACTTGACCTAATAATAAAACGAGTGGAGTTATTAGCAGGCTCAAAAACCTAATAATAAGAAGAGTGAAAATTACAAGCAAGCTCAAATAAAAGGATAAGAGTTCATTAATATGCAGAAATGTGCATTTATTTCCCAAACACTTGTCTTATCTTTCCTGACATAAAGTAGGACAACAGCAAAGACAGAGTAAAATACTAACATGCGGAAGTAGGCATTTATTGATTTTTTTAATAGCACATTCCTAGTAAAAAATAAACAGCGCTTCATCACAGACAATCAATCAATAGAACAATACCTTTGCTTTCAAAGAATTCTTCTTATCACTTTGCCAGCTCAACAAACCCTCAACGACTCCCTTCAAGTGCTCATGAAGCACATCAGCTTTAGATCTAGCCACCAATGCTTTGATAAAGCCTAAGTTGGCCTGGCCACGATATCAATGTTAGTTGAAGGAGCTTGAGATGAAATTATTGATTAGCTAAATTCATGAACTGGAGGTGTGTTATGACTTTACTTTGACAAGTTCTCGGTTGTTCCTCTGCATAAGGAGAAAAGTCGAGGGGAGGAGCTTGTAAGCTACTCCAATAAGATCTGAGAACTCATAGGTCAAGCGAGCTAACCCAGTTACAGCAGCACTAATCGCATGTGGAGTTTGACCAGCTAGACCACCAGCTACCTAAACATGAAAGCTGACAAAGTTAAACCAAACTATGTATCACATCTTGTTGTATAGAGGGAGAAAAGATCCCAATTATCAAGGGTTAACAACTGAGCACACCGGAAAATGCTAGGTTGCCAAATTGCAACATCATAGTGCTCAAGTGGTCGACTTTTCCCATAAAAAAAACTGAAATTAAAATGCATAATGGCATTGAAGTACCATGTCAAAGAACTGGTGCAAGCTGTCCTTCCTCCCATCATTTTCAGCATCTTCACAAGCGTGGCCAATTGCAATAAGCACATCATAAGCTCTATTTCTGGTTTTCTTGTTAGCCTGTGAAGAAACATAAACGCATCACCATTAATCTCACATCTGACTTTCCTGTACCACATGAGTACATTCAGAAGTTGTCCTATCAGAAAAAATGAACATTGCTTCAGTAGCAAGAGTTAAGCGAAAGAACTATGCCATTCAACACTTGAGTACTTGATCAATGTAAGCAGTAAGGTCTAGAGTAAACAAATATCTGTACTCTACTCTGAACAGAAAAACTCACTTTGATCTATTTTTGTTTCAATAAAACAAAAGAACAGCCTTAGGTAATAACAGGAAGCTGTAATTATGTATTGTGTTTCAAAGGGAATAAGAAACAAAAATGACAAATTGGCAACATGCTACTTGAGCATTATAGAAAGTTTCTTCCTGGCTACATTGATATTTGATAATGCAGTGCAATGTATAATACACTATTTCCGTTACCTCCTTCAAGGCAAGAAGTATTTCAGTGAGAAATGAACTAACAATTTCCCTCTTCCTAAGCTTCGATGGATCCTGCAGACAAGAAAGTGATGCACATTTGTTAATGCTCTCCCAGATAGAGATGTAAATTTGTTCATAAACTGTGTTGATGTTTCTGCTTTACCAACCTTCAAAATGTAAACAATAAGGTGATGCAGGCATTCAAGCCTGTACCGTTTTGATGGAAATTGGCATGGCAATGACAAAATCATCAATTCCAACAGGACATCTAAATTCCTCTCAATAAATTCAGCATCCTGAAATAGTCAAGCATACAGAAAAAAGTTCAGAAGTTGTTTTTCTTGTTTCGTGCAATTGTTAATATAAATTAACTAACTGAAAACAAAAACAAACCTTAAGTAACATTGAGAGGACCTTGTATGCTCTCTTTTGATTCATTGAGTCGCTATCCTAAAACCGGAAAAAAAAAAGCAAGGTACAAGCAATTTACATAACATGTTGCTTAAATGGAGAAGACAAACATAAGTTGCATGAAAACCATATATGTACCTTAATTGCAGGTTTTACATAACTGAATAGCACATTGATAGACTTTGCATCCAATCCAGGCATTAATGAAGCTGCAAATTCTAAAAGGAGGGCCCTGAAATTCAAATCAAGTTTGGAAATCAACACTGGACTTAAACTGGAATCTAGGATGCACAGATAAGAACCGAGAAAAAATTAAACTCCGTGAAACCTTGTCATGTTATTTGTATTGGAATTATCGTCAATCTGCATTGAACCGTCATTCACTTGCTGCGCATTAATAGCTTTTGTGGCATCCAGCAACTTTCTTATTGCATCAAGGAAGAACTTGCTGACAACATCTTTGTCTGATATGGATGCTATCTCGCTTATCGCAGGCTGGTCGAACAAAGAGGGCAATGCCATGTAAGTTACATGCTTTCAAGCAATATAAATGAAATGCAGTCAATCAATGAAACAATCCAACATGAAATTCATAATGGAA